AGAAATTTCCCCTAGCAAAATGGGGATGCTACTCATTCTCCTCCATTCTCCTTGGGACTTTGGGCACACATGCACAAGTGCCTGGCATGTTTTCCAAGCCATTATGTCTGGAACTTAAACCGTGGAGTAGGCTGTGTGGGATCCAGCACCTTAACCACCGCATCACATACTGGCCCCCAAACAACTTTTATTAATTTAACAACAATTGAACATGTACTGTGTGATGATCACTATTCTAACTGTTTAGGATTAAGCAATGGACAAAACAGAGCATGCATAAACACACGCACACACACACACACACACATATACAGTTTTGTGTTCCTGTGATTACTCTTTTTGTTTGTTTGTTTTTTGGAGAGGCTTTTGCTATACAGAGCATGCACTCGCCAGCAAGACAGACAGAAACAGAGAGAAGGAAAGCGAGAAATCAATCCCCAGGGGGATGGCCACGCCGCAATCCCTCTTCCTCCACTCTCCTCTCGGGATCTTGGACACACATGCACACATGCCCAGTGTGAGTTGAAGCCACCGGGTCCGACTCGAACCGCGCTCAACTACATGGGAGTCCAGCAACATAGCCATTATGCCAACTGCTGGTCCCTGATTGCTCTTTTTTTATAACATAAATAATACATTTCATCAGCAACTGGCTTTTTTCCCCTATGGTATGTCTCTGTGGTCTTAATTGTAACTCAATCCCTTTTGTTGTTCCATAGTCTGAACACACCCGGGTTTATTTATCCACTTACCTTAGAGCAAGTTACTTAAGTAGCTCCCAGGGCCAAAGCTGGGATCCTGCCCCCTCCATGCCTCTGTGCACATGTGTAAGTACAGTTCAGAGAATGAAACAGAACTTCCAGGGTGAACGGTGTATGCACATTTCCCTCGACACCTACAGCAGTCAATTGCTGTTCAAAAAACTGCTGTTTATGTTATGCTTTCATCAGCAGTGTATATAAGAGTACCTATCTCTTCAAATCCTCACCAACACTGGATATCAGCCATTGTAAATCTTGTCATTCTGTTGGATGAAAAGTGTATCTCATCATTCGAAGTAACAACTTCCTGATTACTAGAGACCTTGAGCATCTTTCCAAATTTTTTGCATGTGTGTTGTGTTTCCTCTTTGTGAAATAAGTACTAGCAATTGCCAATTTATCTTTTGTCTTTCTCTTATTTTAAGCAGGTCTTTTCAGAGAACCCAGTCCTAACTGATATAAGATCTCCACTCAAAAATTCTAGGGGTGGGCCAGCAGGTGGTTTGGTGGTTAAGGGTACTGGACTCCCACGTGACCAACTGTGATTCAAGTCCCAGACCTGGCAGCTTGCTTTCTCACCACCCCCAACCCCCATTCTGTCTCTCTCTGGTCAAATTAAAATAAATAAATAAATAAAGTTAAACAAAATAATTCTTCTAAAATAATTTCTAGAGGCTTGGTAATTACTCTATGCAAAATAGTTTAACACCCTCCCCATTCCCAATGCCTGTCCTCTTTCTGTTCTGTGTTGTGTGTATGTGTGTGGGTTTGTTCATTCTCTTCCTCTTCTTTTGAAACAGGGTCTCCCTGTGTCACAGTCATCCTGCCTCCATCTCCTGGGTTGCTGGAACTACGGTGCCTGACGCCGTGCCCAGCTTGTTCACGCAGGATCTCACTACCTTACCCACGCTGACTTTGAAGCTGCTATCCACTTGCCTCAGCTTCCTGATTTGCTGAGACTACAGGTATGTGTCAACATGCCTGCTTTTTAGAGTGGACCAAGATTCGAACCTGGAATTCATATGTGGTCCCGGCCAGTCAAGAAGCACTATCTAGTTCACAAAGCCATTACTAGACAATTCTGTACATTTTTTAAAAAAGGAATTATTTAACTTTATTTATTTATTTTAATTTGACCATAGAGTGACAGAGTGAGAGAGAAAGAGGTAAAGTGAGAAAGCAAGCTGCCAGGGCTGGGACTCAAACCGCAGTCGGCCATGTGGGAGTCCAATGCCCCTAACCACCACACCACCAGCCGGCCCCCCATTCTATACTTTTTTAAAAGTACTTGTTAACGACTGACATTTTTTTTTTTTTGGAAAGGTTTTTGCTATAGGACGCATGCACTTCCAGAGAGACAGAGAGAGACCGAGAGACAGAAAGCGAGAAATCCCTCCCTGCTGGGCCAGCCACGCCGCAATCCCTTCTCCTCCATTCTCCTCTCGGGATCTTGGGCACACACGCACATGTGCCCGGCGTGAGTTTAAGCCGCCGGGTCCAGGACTCGAACTGCGGTCAACTACATGGGAGTCCAGCAACATAGCCATTACGCTAACTGCTGGTCCCGTGACTGACATTTTGTATGTTTCTTTGTTTAGTTGTTTATCGTTTCTTTATCCCCAATAGAATATAAGCTCTGAGTATAGATATTTTAATTCCTTCATTGTAAAATTGCTAATTAATTCCTAGAAAATCACTTTAAACAGAAGATAAACACCAAACATTTGCAGAAGTGATTGAGGTGATTGGTTTTTCAGTGAGGGAGTCTTTTGTCTACGCTACCGATTTTATTTTCTAGGTGTTAGTTTTGCTTGCTGAAGTTTGCTTTTACCTCACAGTTTCCCCACCACTCTCCTGAAACTGCTCTTATTGAGGAATGAGAAGCTTCACGTTATTAAAGCCAGTGGCCCATTCCTGTCCCCATCTCACTCAACAGTCTTCTTAAAACACCATTTTTACTGACTTCCAGAACCCTGCACTCTTCCTGGTTGTCCACCCACCTGTCAGGCTGGTCCTCTTCAGTCTCCTTTGTGTTTCCTTCTCATTTCCTGACTCTAATCCCTGTAGTGTCCCCATACTCAGTTCCAGGGCTTCTTCTCTTCACTGTCTACACTCATTTTCTTGGTATTCTGCTTCAGCTTCGTGACTTTCAGTATCTTCTCTCTGCTGATGGTTCCCAAATGTGTACCTGTCTTTGACCTCGCTCCAGAGCTTCAGACTTGTGGGTGCGATTGTCCATTCAATGTCGTCTCTGGATGTTTGTAGACATCACAATGCACCACAATCCAAATGGAACTCCTGCGATTTCCCCCGGATCTGCCTCACCTCCACACTGCTCTGTCTTGCAAAAACAGGTCGCCTCTTCGGTTACTCAAGCCAAAGTCTTCAGATTTATCCTTGACTCCTCTCTTTCTCTTATACCCTCACTTCTCACCACCTGCATTGCTACCACCCTGGTCTGACTAACCATGACCTCTAAGCCGATTACAGTGACCCCTTCACTGATCTCAGCTTTTGCTATCCTCAACACAGCCATCAAGGGTGACGCTGCTAAATCTCAGCTGGTTTATGCTACTTTTTGCTGAAACTCTCAAAAGCTCCTCTTCACTATCATAGCCAAATTCTTTTTTATGTTTTTTTTTTTTTTTTCGGTTTTTGCCATAGGCCATGTTTGCTTGCCAGAGAGAGGCAGAAACAGAGAGAGGAAAAACGAGAAATCATTCTCCGGGGGGATGGCCACACCATAATCCCTTCTCCGTTCTCTTCCTGGGATTTTGAGCACGCATACATACACACCCAGTGTGATTTGCAAGCCACCATGTCTGGGACTCAAACCGCAGTCAGCCATGTGGGAGTACCACACTGCTGCTGGCCCCCATAGTCAAATCTGTATGAAAGACTTTATAGAAATCCTGTAGGTAGAATCTGTGACCTCATCTGACCTCCATTCTCTCCTCTCTTTCTCTGCTCTCACCATGTTCACTTGGGCCTCCTTGTTCTTCCTTGAACAAACCAGGCATTTCCTGTGACATTGGCTCTTCCCTAAGTTTAGAATGCTTTTTCTACAGGCATCCAAATGGCTTGCCCATCATTTCCCTCAGTCCTCCACTTAGCTGTCACCTCCACAGTGAGACTTTCCTTGACTACTTTGTGTAAAATTACCACCTTCCCGTTCATCCTTCCAGTTCATTCTCTTTTTTTGTTTTTGTTTTGTTTTATTTTTGTTTTGTTTTATTTGGTTTGGTTTGGTATAGGGTGCATGCATGCACTTGCCAGAGAGATAGAGAGACAGAAAGTGAGAAATCGCCTCCCAGGGGGATGGCTATATTGCAATCCCTTCTCCTCCATTCTCCTCTCAGAATCTTGGGCATGCATGCACACGTGCCTGGTGTGAGTTTAAGTCACTGGATCTGGGACTTCAACCATGGTTGACTACATGGGAGCCCAGCAACATAGCCATTAAGCCAACTGCTGGCCCCGATCCTTCCAGTTCGTTCTCTGCTTTCTCTTTTCTAATAGCACTTATCACTATCTCACACACAGTCCCTTTGTCAGTTGTTCATCATACTTGCTTTCTTGCTTTCTCAGCTTAAATTTAAGCTACACAAGAACAGAGATTTTTTTTTTTTAACTTTTTTTTTTTTTTTTTGCACGTAGGTATTCCCAAGGCTCGGAAGAAAGTCGGCACATACTGAGTTGTCAATAAATATTTGCTGAATAAATAAATGACTCAGATTGCAAAGAGCTGGTGGCAAGACACTGCAGGTGTGGACAGGTTGCTAGAGGGCGGCAGCCCTGTGTAAGCACTGGCTGGGTGAAGTTGGAACGAACCCATTTCAGGGGTACTTAGCCGGCCAGCCCTGAGTCACCTACCTCTGAGCTCCACATCATCAGAGCAGAGTAAGCCTCATCTTGGTGAGCCGTTGTTGCTGGGTGCCTGTTGTGTGCATCTGAATGCGATCCAGATAATGATCTAAAAAGGTTGAGAACTATTCTGAGGGTGGAAAGACAAGAAGTCTTGGGACAGAACCTTCAGAACCCCAATAATTCAAAAATGTGAAGCCAAAAAGGATTTCTTCGAGAGGATGAGAAGAAGCAAGAATGGGACAAAACAAGTGGAATCACGAAGCCAAGAGCAAGTGCTGTGGGAAGGGAATTGTAGTCCACAGACTCACGCTGATGAGAGGCCCCCAGGAAAGGAACGGAGGTGGGAGGCTGAGGACACCGCTGGGGCAGGAACTTGAGGGGTTCCTTGTAATCATCCCTGTTTGCTCTCTGACGTAGCTGGCATGATCACCGTTGGTGGTCAGTCTACATGACAACTTGGCTAGGCCATGGTGCTCAGTTGTTTGGCAAACACTAGTCTAGAGGTTGCTGTGAAGGCACTTTGTAGATATGATTAACACTTCTAATAGTTGACTGGACAAGGAGGAATTTGCATCAAGACTGTAACATAGAAATCCTGCCTGAGTTTGTTATCAGGCTGCTGGAACTAATTTAAATTTCGAATTTAAGATTGCGACATCAACCCAGACCTGAATTTCCAGCCTGTCAGATTTCAAACTTGCCAACCCCCACAACCACACAGGCCAGCCAGTTACTTAAAATAAATGTCAATCTTTCTCTTAATCTCTACATATACTCTTTTCTTTTCTCTCCTTTTTTTTTTCTTTTTTTTTGAGAGATTTTTGCTGTAGGGCGTGTGGGCTCAGCAGACAGACAGACAGAAACTGAAAAATCAACCCCCCTCCCCAGGGGGAGGGCCACGCTGCAGTCCCTTCTTCTCCATTCTCCTCTTGGGATCTTAGGTATAGTCCGACGTGAGTTTTAAGCCACCGGGTCCGTGACTCGAGCCAAGGTTGCCTACATGGGAGTCCAGGGACATAACTATTATGCTAGCTACTGGTCCCCACATACTCTTTCTTTCAGTCTCTCTCTCTCTCCACACACACACACACACAGACACACACACACATATGCAAAGTATTCAAAAAGTTAGTGGAAATGCATATTATTACTATTATTTTTGGAGAGGTTTTCGCTATAGGGTGCGTGCGCTCACCAGACAGACAGAGAGAGACATGGAGACTGAAAGCGAGAAATCACCCCCCTGGGTGATGGTCACGCTGCAATCCCTTCTCCTCCATTCTCCTCTCGGGATCTTGGGCACGCACACACAAACGTCCGGCGTGAGTTCTAAGCCACCAGGTCCGGGATGCGAACCGCGGTCGACTACGTGGGAGTCCAGTGACATAGCCATTATGCTAACTACTGGTTCCCTGGAAATGCATATTATGAAAAAGCTCTGGATAGATTTCAAGATTTCTTGCAGTAAAGTAAACTTGTACTTTCAATTCCATTTTCCATGAACGTTTTGATGTCCCTTCACACATATTGTATTGTTTGTCTCTGTCTCTCTCTCTTTCTGTGTGTGTGTATGTGTGTGTGGGTGTGTGTGTGTGGGTGTGTGTGTTGAGAATAGTTCTCAACCTTATTGGACCACTAACTGAGATTGTGTTCAGCTGGATACACACACACACACACACACACACACACACACACATATACATTGTATTATATAAGTCCTAGTTTCTGTTTCTCTGGAGAACTGGTTTATACTCCATCTATTGAAAGTGTAGAAGTTCAGAAATTTGAACCCGGTTATTTCCTTAGGCTAAATTCCAGTAAGTGGAACTAGTAAGTCAAAGTTCATGAGCTGTTTAAAGAAATATGCTGCATAGCGTCCAAATGCTTTATAGAGATGTTACATCTGTGTATCCCCAGGAATAATACACGTATGTCTAGAGCCCTATCTAGATCTTTTTCACCTTCACTATTTGTTGGGAGATACTGCCTTCTCTTTTACATTTGCAATGTTTGGATGAATTGCGAGGCTGAATACCTTCATATATATATATATATTTACGATATGCCTTTATTTATTTGTTCATTTATTTATTAAGTTTTTGCCTTAGAGTGTGTACACTCTCCAGAGAGAGAGACAGAGACAGAGGAAACGTGAGAAATCACCTCCCAGGGAGGATGGCCACGCTGCAGTCCCTTCTCCATTCTCCTCTCAGGATTTTGGGAGTGCAGATACACACACCTGGCATGATTTTCAAGCCACCAGTTTTGGGACTTGAACCGCAGGCAGCCATGTGGGCCTGAACTGTTGAACCATTACACCATCTGTTGGCTCCCTTCTTTAAACTTGTATTGAAGTAATTCTTTGCTGAAGAAACTTAGGCTGCTGAACTCCCACGTCGTCAACCGCAGCTTGAGTCCTGGACCTGGTGGCTTAAACTCATGCCGGGTGCATGTGTGTGCATGCCTAAGATCCCAAAAGGAGAATGGAGAAGGGATTGCACCATGGCTATCTCCCTTGGGGAGTGATTTTTCGCTTTCTGTCTCTCTGTCTTTCTGGCAAGCTCACGCTCCCTATAGCAAAAAACTCTCAAAATTTTTTTTTTCTTTCATTGGAAAAGATCACTGGCCGGCAGGGCCATACAGCAGGTCAGCCTTGTGCTTAGGGAGCCAGATCCACATGGCTGACTGCAGTTGGAATGCTGACACAATAGATTGAAAGACACACCTAGCACATGCATGTGCATGCCCCAGATCTTGAAGGGACAGAGAAATGGAAGGAAAAAGATCATGCCGTGTCCACATCCCTTTACAAATGGGAGAGAGTTCTTTCTCTTTCTGGTAAGCCCACATCTCCTCTGGCAATGATAAAAAAAAAAAAAAAAAAAAAGACCACCTCTGGCCTGAGTATAACAGCTAAAACTCTCAACAGTTTATGCCATTTGTCCACATTTCTACTGTACATTGGTCTTCTCCTTGTTGATTTGTGAGGTCTCTTTGTATCGTCCTTTGCCTTTTGTCTGATATAGAAACTGTTCCCTATTTTCTTAAAAAGTTTATTTAGTCCTTGAAAGAGAAGGAGAGAGAAAGAGAAAGAGTCACCTCCTCCATTGGGGTCTTTATGTCATGATCCACGCCTAGATCATGGGTGTGCACATGTACTCTTGGTATGCACCAGGTCTCAGGACACAAACCGGAGCTTCTGATTGGGTCCAGCACTGCAGATTATTGTGCTACCTCTGCACCACTGCTGACTCCTCCCTGTTTGTTATTATTATTTTTTTTTTGAGAGGTGTTTATTTGCTATAGAGCATATGCACTTGCTAGAAAGACAGAGAGAGACAGAGAGACAGAAAGCGAGAAATCACCCACTGGGGGGATGGCCACGCCGC